TCAAAGCGGCGCGTGTATGATGTCATCCGCATGCGCCGGCTACCATTCATTCATCCTATTCGCTGAACTGCTGCTAGTTTTCCTCACATGCCTGGAAGATGTCTAGTGCTGCTACCACAGATGATCTCGCTCTCCAAATGGAATTGAATGATTCAGATTAGCTAGAATGAATAGAAGTGGTAGAGCGTAGCCGCCTGTAGCCCGGGCTGCCTGTTACAACTCCAGTCCGTCGCGCCTCACCTTCTTTCTTTTCTTAGAGATGTTGGCCAAGGTCACATATACAACATGTCACTCTTCCCACACCATATAGCATTAAGGTCACATTTTCCCTTTATAATTTCAACCTTCCTGCAGCCTTTTTTGTCATAAAACGGGACAGATGGACCCAGTATTCAAGGTGAGACAGTCAGTAGAAAAGTTCAAAACGTTTATTAAAAAAAAAAGCATAAACAAACTTTGTGACTAAAATTGAGTGCATCTGCAATTTGAAAATAGCATTTTTCTAAATTGCGATTATTTTGCAAATGCAATTAATTGCCCAGCGCTAGAGGGTCTCTTGCATGATAGCTTCCCTTTAATGCGAGTCCATCTTTACCGCCGCTGGTCCTCCATATGAATCCTCGTTCCTGCTAACAGAGTCACGCACACGATGGCGTGCACTCTGGAGCAGACGGACGGCTGGAGGACGAAGGAAGGAAGGATGGGACGTGGGTGTGTGGGGGGTGCTGGTCTGTAACATCGATCATTTACACAGCCTCAAAAGCTGTTACAAAAACTGAAAACTTGACTTTTTACCCCCCATAGCTTTGGCCCCTCCCTGATAGGGGCGCCTCTACACACTGCAGACTTTGCACCACAGAATTTTATAATAAAATAATATGGGAAATTTACAAGACGCTGCTAATATGGGAGTGCAGTGGGAAAGAGGGGTAAAGCATGTTAATATAAATAAGTTTCCTGGCCAAAACAGGAGACTTTACAGTGATTGGATTATATTAGATTTACCAACTCTGGTTAAATGTTAGTGATTGAAATCAGTGATTTTCATCCCTTAAGTGTTCAAATAAATGTTACACTACAGATGACTAAATCTATGGGATTTAGTTTGGAAAATGCAACTAAAATACATAAAAGCTATGAGTTTATTAAGTTATAGTTCCAAAAAAATAACTAATTAATTCAAGAGGATTTGACTCAAAGTGGCATATTTTCCCGAGAGAGGGAAATAATAATAATAATAATAATAATCCTTTTTAGCTTTTTTAAAACAAGCATTTTTAAAAGATAGTGAAGCCTAAACCTACTTAATAGATTTAAATGTAGGATGATAAAAACAAAATACATCCTAACTTTTAGAATTAGGTCCAAAATCGCACCTGGCATAAAGTTATACATGGTTGATAATGCTTTCTACTGGAACATAAAAGGCGATTAGAGGTTTTCACCTGAGAACCAAAAATATTTTCAGCCACTAAAACTATTAGCCACTTTGTTCATGTTGCTGTTATTTGTAAGTTTGCTCAGTATTTTGCTGCATTGAACCAATCTTGTTGCTCAGATACCTTTCTTTCTCTCACTCTAATGCCTCCCACTCAGTTCGACTCTTTGTCTCACTATCACTATCGATCTCCACGTTATCCTGCCCACTCCAGCTGACCCTCTTCCCCTTTCTTCTTTCACTCCTCCGCATACTCCTCTTTAAGTCGCTTCTCCTCAATTTCTCTTTGCCATTCTCTCATTTGCCTCCTTTTTGCTGTTTTACTCTCCTTTATCTTCCATTGATCTTTCTCTCATTATGTAGCCCCTAGCAACTGAACGTTTTTTTTTGTTTTATTTTTTCCTTCCAATTCCTTTTGTATTGTGCCCCCCCCCCCCGCCTCTAGATTTAATCCCCTTCACTCAATGCTCTATTACCACCTTACTGTTCCCTTGCAGCTCTATTTTCCAAGGTTAAGTTGTGATTTGTCACAGTAAATAACTCATCCTTGGGGAGCACCATCACTGCGCTTTGCTCTGCAGCCCAAAATGAAACAGGGTCTCAGGGCGATGTCTGCACACTTGGTAGATTTTGATATAAATGTCACTGAAACTATGTGGCAGTGGAAGAAGATAAAGAATGAAATGTGATGACCTTGTGTTTTTAATCATGTTAATGACTATCCCCTTGAACATTGACATATTTTGTATGAGATATTCCACACTTTTACAACACTTTTTGCTCAAAGTTTATTTATTGTATGCTTTAGACCCCTGTCAAACATTGCCGATTTAGCCAGCGTCTGCCTGATGTCCCAGAATCTCCTAAAACACTGGCATACGCTGAACTTTCTGTATTAACCTAGCTGCTGTTTACTGCCTCCCCCCCCACTATCTATACTTCTAGATACTGCAGTATCTAGAAGTATAGATACTGCAGTATCTAGAAGTATAGATACTGCAGTATCTAGAAGTATAGATACTGCAGTTTAAAAACACTCTGGTAAAAGTTGAATTATCAACTTGACCTCTTTAATCAAGTAAAAGTGAAAAAGTATGTGCTCCAAAAACTACTTAAAG